TTAATCCATTCTCATTTGCTGGGTACATAGACGACAATGGGAGCTCCATCTGAAAAAAATTTCAGAAATATTACAAATTTTCAATTTTTCGTTTCATCCTCGATTACAGTTTGATACGATTGAAATTGATGAGAACAGAATAAATTATTTAGATATCACTATTATCAAAAATAACAACACTCTTGAATATGATTGGTACCATAAGCTTACTTTTTCTGATAGGTATCTGAATTTCTTTTCTGAGCATCCTGTTTCGCAAAAGAGAGATACGATCATAAGAATAGTTAATAGAGCCCTTTGTTATCTCAAATATCACAAAAAGAACCTGACCTTTGTCATTGACACTTTTAAATAATGACTATCCGATTATTTTATTTTTAACACAATTAATGAGCACCTAAAATCTTTATTGAGTAACAAAACTTTAAAACAAAACACGAATGATACTTCTGATGAAGATATTATTAAGAAATTTACGATTTCATTTGTTTCGGAGAATACAAATTCAGAGAGATAATTAAAGATCTTGATGTTGACTTTGTATTTTTTAGCCTAAACAAGCTCAAAGCTGCTTTTAAAACACATAAGGCTTCTTTACCTAATAAAGCAAAAAAGAACGTAGTGTACAAGATATAGCAAGGATTGCGATGCCTTCTATGTCGGGACGGACTTTAAAAACGAGAATCTCGGAACATTATAACGATACCCGAAGGAATACGAGTAATCATTCTGTTATTACCAAACACAGATTGGATCTCAACCATTCGCTTGGGAAGGCACAGAAATTATTGATCAGAAACAGTTTTTATATAAACGATGTATCTCAGAAATATTATTCAGTTGCAAAAAAAACAGTCTTAATTTACAATCTGACACCGAGTTTTTACATCACTCATACATCTCGATCCTCAATAATTTACACTGATTTAAACTGCCATTTTTGTTTTTATTTATTTAAGATTTATATCTTTAAGTAACAGTCTGATGTGTGTCTGTTGGTAATATCGTCCGTTTTATTTATCAGTTTTTACTTATCATTATATATATCAGTTTTATACTATTATTTTTTGACTCACTTGAATGATAACGATATTGAACATCACAATAATCGGAACGTTTGTAGCGAATTTATATTTATATTATATTATATTGTACAATATGAACAATTTGCGGATCTTTTGACTTTATTTTTTTTTGTGTTCACGTCTTTCATGGCTATATGAGTGAGTGCATTAATTTTTCTTTATAAAAAATAGTGGTAACGTTTTTGATATCTGTACAGATTTTAATTTGTTATTCATTGCTATTGGAATTGTCAACCATTGCCAATAGAATAAGATTTAGAATTGAGTTGTCACTTTGCCGTCTCGCCATGAAAAAGTGAGAGATTTATAACATATAATATGTTCAGACAATGAATGTACTGATAATGGCTACTGATGAAAGCAAGCCGAAATGTCTGTGTGTAATTAATTATTATAATTTTTCGACAATAAACGATTCTTATTTTCGCATTAACAACTGCGCATAAAACTCTCATTAGCCCTTTGTTTTTATATTTTTTAAATGACACTACGTATTATTTACTTCATAATATTGTAACTAATGTCAAAATGAATTCAATGACCTGCTATGATCTTGAGATGACCTTAAAGTCAGATCATGAGATCAATGAACGGAAACATTTTCATAAAAAATTATTTTGTATTAAAATTTACATTTTTTTATTACATTGTTCAGAAAAAATGTATTTATAGATAAATTGAAAAACCGACGTAACATTTCTGAATTCGTGATATTCCCGAATGTATTATAGTTCACAATTTATTACATTTATTGGGAATACAAATTAGTTCGGTCCGTTTTTTTGTGCATTTATTTCAAAACAAAATGAACAGATCAATTAAAGTATTGTCCATCGCTGCCTACTTTTTCCCATCTCTCAGGCAATTTTCGAATTCCATCTCGAAAAAATGACTCGTCTTTGGAAGCTATTCAATTTTGGAGCCAATTTTCGATTTCTGCGAAAGAAGTGAACCGGTGACTTGTCAAATCGTGCTGCATCCTTCGAAACAATCAGTAATCAGAAGGACCAATATCCGGAGAATACGGCGGATGCAGTAAAACATCCCATTTGAGCGTTTCCAAATATTTTTTTTACGACTTTAGCGACATGAGGCCGAGCGTTGTCATGAAGAAAAATAATTTATCATTTATCTTTGCTCGTATTCCGACCGTTTTTCTCGCAATGCACGGCTCAAACGATCAATCAATTGTAGCCGATACCGATCGCCCGTAATGGAATCGCCAGGTTTCAGCAGCTCATAGTAAACAAGACCCTTTTTCCCATTAGATACAGAGCATGATCTTCGAACCATAAATGTTCGGCTGTGGGGTTGATATTGAGGTCGATGGCAACCAGGCTTAGTTTTTTCTTTTTGGGATTGTCGTAGAATATCCACTTCTCATCTCCAGTCACAATCCGATGCAAAAAACCTTTTCTCTGTTGTCTTTGAATCAGCTGTTAGCAAGTGAAAAATCGACTTTTCAACGTCCCTCGGTTTCAGTTCGTAAGGCACTCAATTTCCTTGTTTTTGAATCATTCCCACAGCTCTCAATCGTGCAGAAACGGCTTGTTGAGTTACCTTTAATGATTCTACAAGCTCCTTTTACGTTTGATTCTGATCTTCGAGTAATGCCTCTAATTCTTTGTCTTCGAATTTTTTTGGCTGTCCAGAGCGAGACTTGTCTTCAACGAACTGAAATCTTCATCCTCGAAACCATTCCCTACATGATTTATCAATTGGAGTAGTGTCACCATAAACTTCGATAAGCATTCGATGGGCTTCAGCCGCACTTTTCTTCCAATCAAAGCAGAAACTCAAAACCTTCCGTAAATGCTGCTTGGTTAACACAAAATTCGACAAATACAGTAAAAATCAAGGTTTTTGTATGAAACTCAAAGTGATATAAACTGAATATTATTAGCAGACAGCAAGTTTAATCTCTCTGAAACCGTCAAAATCAGCTGTCACTATGAACCATTCACAACAGCTGAAGCAATCTTTAGGGAAACGGACCGAACTAATTTGTACTCCCAATATATGTAAACGTAGAAAAAATGTCAACACAACTTGTGGTACTTGTATATATTTGCGCGTTATGACCTTATTTATATTTGTTCTTTCTTAGTTTGACATTAGAGCAAATCGTAGTCTCAATTTATCGGAAATGTATTTCTATAATGAGAAAGTTGATATGCAGCTAATACAAAAACTACTACTACTGTAGAATATATGCATACGAAATTTAATACAAATAAAATAATTTTTCACGAAAACGTTTGTTTATTGATTTAACACATTTGATTTCAAGGTCATAGCAGTTCATTGAACTCGTCTTAACATCAGTTGCAATATTATGAAGTAAAAAATATGTCTTGTCATTAAAAAAAATTAAGGTGCCCTTGACTTTTCTCTTAAAAAAGAATACTTTGCATTTTTAATATTGCAATTTGTAGTCGATTGAAAACTAACTTTTATTAAAAATAATTTTGTCACATCATCGGAAGTGTCGGAAAAATCACAGTTACATGGGACATCCTATATATTCACACAATTTTTATTACGGCGCGCGCACACACGCACGCCCATGCGCAAACGCATATGCGCGCACACGCACACACACGTACACATACATTCGAGCCTACGGTAACATTCCTAATATTCTGGCCAATATCGCGTAACTTTTGTATTCAATCTACACATTACTTCTATATATTATCAATATATTACTTCATAACTACAATAAAGACTTCTTTATTTTATTGTAAACTGCTCTTTTTTTTTATTTGCATCTTATCTCCAGCGCGAACTTCTTTTGCATTTTAATCGACCGCAAGAAACCGAGTTATTCCGCGCAAAAATCAAATATCAGTTATACGTCCATCGATAGTTGTCGATAACTAACAATAGCCAATGACTATCCTAAAAAAAAAGGCAGTTTTTATTGGCTGTCTCTACTTAACGGGATATCAACAAGTATCAGTAGATATAAAGAATATGGGCCCTAGTTAGTAGCCTAGTTTAGTTGTGATATTATATAGTGCATATGAATAGAAAACAAGTTTCACCCTCAGACTATTCACCAAATATAAAATATGATTTTGGACAAATTAATATTTTGTAACTGCATAACACAACAACTTATTTCCACTTAAAAATTTTATTTTCTGATGGATATACATTTAAACGTGATGAATTTATTAATATTTGAAATTGTCATTATTAGCCATGAATTAATCTTCATTGGTTAAAATAAATTGATCATTATATTTGGAAAGTTTGGCAGTATTATTGAAGTTAGATCGTTATAGATTTTCTTTAAAGAAAATCTATAATCTTTTTCTTTAAAGAAAATCTAAACTGTGATAAAGTATTGATATAGCTATATTTTTAGAGAGAGAGATAGGTTTTTCTGTCTTACTAGAAAATGTTCCTCTGATTGTGCTTAGATATGTAATTCCAACTAAATTTGTTCGCGTTGCATTTATTCGCGAGATTTATTTGGTTGCTCCAATATGTTTCTATTTCCAACCGTAGCTGCTACTCACTCAAATGCACTTGTTAGAATGAGTAGAAGCTATGATAGGAACATGTTGAAGCATGTTAAAGTATGCGACACGAATCGCACTTGCTTTCCAAATCATTTCTAAATCAATAGAAGCATATTTAAAAAAAAATGTTCCACGAAAGTTTCTTATTATTTGCGTGTAATCTAAATCTGTAATAAAAAAATATTTAAAAATTGAATATCTGATTTAAATAGTCAATTTTTGATTGGAACCAGAAATTAAAAATATCATTGTTCGATAGAGCGTACCTAATTTGCTTATAACAATATTTTTAATATTCTTTTTATAAAAAACATTTTTCCTCATTTTAAAAAGGTGTTCGAGTGATCTCAGACATCTTATATGTAAGAAAATATTAATTGCCTACCGGCGTTACGTCGACATAATGCCATGTCACTGACAGGAGTCCATTGATTTGTCTCCGGATTAAATGCTTCTACGCTTTTTCGTACTAGTGGACCATCGTGACCTCCTACCGCGTATAAAACACCATCCAGGACACCAACACCTGCACCACTGCGACGTGCAGACATTTCAGGTACAGGTTTCCATTGATCCTTCTCCGGATTATAACACTCAACACTAGAAAGACATTGACGAGATTCTCCATCGTAGCCACCAACCTAATTGCAAAGTGTCTCTATATTAAACATGTAATACAGATGACATCTTCGAAGTAATATTTGATATAAACTTACGGCATAAAGCAATCCTTTGACAACACCGACTCCTACGCTACTACGCCGTGTTGACATTCGTGCAACTGGTCTCCATTCGCGAGTCCGTGGATCATAAACTTCAGCCGAATTTAATCCTGTCGAACCATCGAAGCCACCAACCTATGTATGTAAAATATCGATTAAATTTTAAATATGATTTACAATTTAATAAATAACATGCGACACAAACAAGAAGATATAATAACGTACAGCGTAAACGCAATTGCCGAGTACGGCTACACCGAGTGTCGATCTCCTCGCCTCCATCTCGGGACAAGGTGACCATTGATCCGCTGCAGCATCATAAATATCAACTGTTCGTACTCTTAATGATCCGTTAAATCCACCAACAGCGTATACGCGTCCGCCAAGAACACAGAGTCCTATAATCCAATATAGTATAATCCAGAGCTGTCCAAGGTCAAGGTTTTTTGGCTTGAAATCGAAATGTATCGGTATTCACACCTATTCTTATTTCTTACTTCATTGCTGTTTTGTTGCAATGGCTTAGGCTCAGAAACTAGTTTGAAATCGTTAAAAGTTTTTCTAATCTATTATTCATATTTTTATAGTTAAATGTATTATGAATAGTAATATATTATAATATTAGAGTAACAGAAGAGAATACTTTTAAACATAGTGAAAGACACAGGTCAAAAACTTTTAACGATTTCAGATTAGTTTCGTCCCTGAAATTGAGCATTGCGTGCTACAACAAAATAGCAGTGAAGTAAAGAATAGAAATGATAATGAGAGTGAATACCGACATATTAGGTGTAGTAAAAAGAAATCCATTATTTTTGCATGAAATTGAATGGAATATTTCGATTTCAGGCCAAAAACCTCCGACTTTGAACAATTCTGATATAATTTTTTACTTTACAAAAAGAAAAGAACAATTCTATCATCATAATTCAAATGATGCTATTTACCAGCTCTGCAACGTCGTGTTGGTAATTCAGAAACTTGATACCACCTTTCCTCTTTAAAGTCATAACATTCAACGCTCCTGATCGCCTTTGGAGCTTGGCCACCAACAACGAGTAATACTTTAGGTAATCCTCTCGGTTGTCTTGGTTTGGTACGCGGTGTTTTGAATAATGACTTTTGCTCACCCTTCAGTAAATGATATTTTAAGGCTTCGATCAAAAAATCCTTACCTGTGGAAATTAAGGGATATATATATCTCTTCTTTTAACATGCACATCATAATAGTAAACTTACATTGTAAATTAGCTTTGAGAAGCGGTTCCTCTTCCACACGTTGCACTAAATATTCTTGAGAAAGCAAAGGCAAGCGCACGTGCTCCATTAACAATGCCAAATCATTTTGTCTCTTTTCGAGGTCGTGGTGTACCCATGAAATAACACATTCAAATACTTTTTCTTCAGAAGGCACCATTAAACGATCGCTACAGATAAGTTTAGCTACTTGTTCAGGTTCCAATGTTAAAAATTCTTCTGCGTCAACCACTTCTCTGCAATCGATATTGAGAAAATTAATACAATCGTATAATATACAATTTAACTAAGAGGATCAGAATTTGAGATGCGACTTACGAAAAATGCTGTTCGATGTAACTGTCTGAGTGCGTCAACAACTCGAGGCACCCATGCAGATCTGCAAACGCTCTAATACCGAGACAATTAGACGGATGTAATTGAGCTTGTAAGAAATCGCAACAGGCATCTCGTACATCCGTTAGTTGTAACAAGTTTGCAGCAGGTAGAAGTACCTGTACGTTATCCTCTGTAACGTGGACTTCTGCAGAGTAAACATAATCTACTAATAATTCTAATGCCGAATAATCCACGCCTTGCAACGTTATTCTTTGTTGATCACGTTCCTCAAAACTTGTAAACATAGCGTAAAAGTAAGGACTGCATGCAGCGAGAACCATTTTGTGAGCCGGTACTTCCATACCACCATCCGCTACTAAGATGACATCGCAGAGTAAATTTTTCCTAAAAATCATAGCATATTATTTAAATCCATATTTATCCATATTTATCTTATAATTTTAAATACTTATAAAATCTATTTTATAAATTTTTGGTAACACAGTAATACGTATATAACAATATGTGTCTAAAAGATAATATAAATATATTTTTTAAAGAAATGAAAGAATAGTATATCTGAACAAACGCACGTACATACACATAAGGTTTAGTCATACAAAGATATATGTCAAATTACTTCAATACCTAACAAAGGTAACGAAAATATATACTTTCTCATCTCGTTGATGACATCAAAAGCTCTATTCGTGTGATGATGATTCCTATATGGTGGTTTATCCTTCCCATTCTCACGAGGAACATGCTTCTGCGAACTCTCATCCAGAGAATTTTGGCTGGCATAGCGAAGTAACAAGCAGCTGTAATGATGAAAGACGAGCAGTTATAATTCTGACTATAGCAGTTTTATTCATCTGTTTTATATTTCAGTATTTTCAATTCCGGCAGAGCAGCCAGATGTTTAAAAAATAACTTATAATGAATTTATGTTATCCATCATTTTTGCCAAAAGCCTTTGCATTTTTACAAATTTTGTAATACAAATTATGAAAACTTTATAAAGAATTTCGTTCTCAATTGGCAACGAGATATGTTTACGTACCACGTCATTTTTGTTAACGTCACGTTTTTAACATAATTTTTCTACACATTTTTTTCTAAACATTCCTGATAAATCTTGTTTACTACTTCTGTCTTATTTGTTATTAATCCTATTGTTATCTTTTTTTTATCTACCCTTAAGACCCGTCTCAAATATTCAGTCTTAGATATCTTATGACTCATCCCTAAATTCGGATTCGTGAATCATCGATAGTTACATATCTCGGATTCTTTCATCCCCATCATGTATATTTTTCGTATTCCAAAAAATGACAAGTTATTGGTTAAAATTTATCGAAATCTTCATTTCTTTTATCATAATAAAGATCCCTCTGGTTCTGATCGAGTCAGTCTGTTCTCATAAGCTACGAATAACACATCTCCAACTTAATCTATAAGCTTGCCTGTATCATTATTGAATAAAATTCGATCCTTTACTTAAGTTATATAATTTCAAACAAAGGAGTAAGATCTAATCCAGAAAAAGTACAGACAGTAAAACAGTATCCGGTTCCAAAGAATCATAAAGAGCTTAAGTAATTTTTGAGTCTTGTAGATTATTACCGTGTTTTATTAAAGATTTTAGTTCGATTACTCAATCATTTACATCACTTTTTAAGAAAAACGTACTATTCAAATGGGAAATACAATAAATAAACAAATAAATTTCAAGACAGGACAACAAATAAATTTCGAGAAAATTAAATAAATGTTATTAAATGAACTATTTTGCAATATCCAGATTTCAATAAGGAATTTATTTTAACTATGCTAGTGACAAAGGAATCGGCGTGATTTTATACAAGGGGAAATAGGGATTGATCTTCTTATTATTGCTTATGCTTTCCGAACTTAATAAGGCGGAACGTAATTATGATACTACGGAGAAAGAACTCTAGGCTATCGTATGGGCAACAAAACATTTTCAATACGTACGTATACGGTAAAAAGATTCAAAATAATTATAAACCTGATCATAAACCACTAATCTGGCTTTTTAACGTTAAAGATCATCTCAGTTAATGCGATGGCGATTAAAATTAAAAGAGTATGATTATAAAGTCTTGTATAAAGAAGGAAAACAATATTAATGCGGATGCTCTTTCTAGAATACCACAAATATCAGTTTTACAAGCAAAAGCTTCAGCAATGATGAAGTTCTTAGTTACAGTTTATTTTTGCAGCATGCATTGAATGATTCGTTATGGAAAACACAAAATATAATTTCGGGCAAAATCAAAGGATTACTTGTAATAGAGACAAGTTCCTTTCCTAAAATTAAATACTTTATCAAAAAATAAAGTAGAGGAAAATAAAGTAGAAAATTTAACACTTACGACGCCAGGAAATATTAATATAATAAAGAAAAATTATTTAATCGAAATAAACCTTGTCACGCGAAAAAATAATCAAACACCCATAAATTTAGAAACGCTATTTAATTAAATGTTTAATTAAATTAAAAGAATATATGCTATTTCACACAATCAAAAGATAATATCAATAACACCCATAGGAAATATTAATAAACTAAGAATTCAAATGATTAAATATATATGTATTTAAAGATACACCAATATAAGTATTTTTATTAGGGTCTATACTTAACGAAATTAATCCATCCAGATACAAAAGACATCCTTAAAGAATTACATAATTAAAAAATCGGCGGTCATAAAGATATTAAAATTTTAAAACGTATTTCAACAATATTAATTGTACAACTTTGCTTCCGCCGTTTTTTTTCCGAAATTCGAGGCTTTGTTGTAAAAAACTGGTTATACATTTATGATTCAAAGTATTGTCCATCGCTGGTCACTACTTTCTCCCATCTTTCGGGTAGCGTACGAATCCCGCGTCGAAAAAACTGGTCATCTTTTGAGGCTATCCACGAATCGATCCAATTTTTTACTTCTTCATAAGACCGGAAGTGCTGGTCAGCCAGGCCGTGTGCCATTGATCGAAACAAGTAATCAAAGGGAGCAACGTTTGGAGAATACGGCGGATGAAGTAGGACTTCCCATTTCAAGTATGTCTTGACCACTTTCGCAACATGGGGTCGAGCATTGTCATGCTGCAAAATCACTTTATCGTGTCTCTCGTTGTATTGCAACCGTTTGTCTTTCAATGCTCGACTCAAACGCATCAATTGCGTTCGATACCGATCGCCTGTGATTGTTTCAGTCGGTTTTAACAGTTCATGATACACTACGCCGAGCTGGTCCCACCAAATACAGAGCATGACCTTGGAGCCGTGAATATTTGGTTTGGCCGTCGACGTGGAAGCATGGCCGGGAACTCCCCATGATTTTCTGCGCTTGGGATTATCGTAATGAACCCATTTTTCGTCCCCAGTCACAATGCGATGCAGAAATCCCTTCCGTCTTTGCCTTTCAAGCAGCTGTTCACAAGCAAACAAACGCCGTTCAACATCTCTCGGCTTCAATTCGTACGGCACCCAATTTCCTTGCTTCTGAATCATTCTCATGGCTTTGAGGCGTTTTGAAATGGCTTGTTGAGTCACTCCCAATGATCGTGCCAATTCTTCTTGATTTTGACACGAGTCTTGCTAAGTAATGCCTCCAATTCTGCATCTTCGAAAACCTTCTCTCTTCCACCGTTATGCCGGTCTTCGACGTCAAAATCACCGTTCTTGAAGCGTTGAAATCACTCATGACACGTTCTTTCACTAATAGCGGCCTCATCATAAGTATTTGAGAGCATTCGATGAACCTCAGCCATAAATTTCTTCATATTGAAGCAAAAAGTTAAAACCTCCCGCAAATGACGAGAATTTAGCTCGTAAACTGACATTTTCAATCGAGAATAACTTTATGATGCAGACACAAATCGACTAATGTTTCTATGGGGTTATGTTGACAGATGCCCAAGTTTATTGTATGACGTCTATGATCTATTTATTTCGACCACCACTTACCGCTAAAGCCATCTATAGGAAAACGGCGGAAGCAAAGTTGTACAAAGTTGTATGGGATGGCAGGATATTAAAAATTTTGTCATAGCTTGTCATGATTGCCAAAAATGAAAATTAGTTCGCGAAAAAACGAAAGCTCCAATTAATTACGGATACACCAAACGAAGTATTTCAAAAAGTTGCAATTGATAAGACCATTATCGGAAATAAGAAACGGGAATAAATATATATTAACTACGCAGGATCAGCTGACGAAATTTTGCACAGCATATCTGTTATTAGATACTAGCATTACAATTGTTGACATAATTATTAATAAATTATTCATTTATACTTTTGGTTCACCTGCAGAGTTGCTCTCTGATTAAGGTAGTAATATATCTGAAGAAATAATGAAAGAAATTGCTAGAATTTTCAAAATAAAACAAGTTAAAACCAGCGTTTACTATCCACAATCAAACGGATTTTTGGTTGCTCGCATCATGTATTAACTGAGTATTTAAAGCCTTTTATTAATTCTCAGCAAGATAATTGGAACTCGTCTCTGGACGCTGCTATATTTTTTTTATAATACGTCATATCATGAGGGAACAAAAATATCTCCTTACAAATTAATATTCGATCGTTTACTCTCAATACTTTCCGAACCCCGACAGAGAATTACACGTAGAGAATTCTTCGCGGATTTATTCGACAGACTATTTTAAAAGGCATGCAAAAGAAAATCTCCGTAAAACTAAGGAAGGTTCAAAGGAATATTATGACAAATATACGAAAAACCTTTGATATTGGACTTACTTGGATCCGGGAGATGTGTCAATATATAATATTACACAAAACGATTAGAACTAAAAAACTAACCGATCAATATAACGATCCATTTAAAATAATACACTGAATAAACGATGTTAATTATGAAATTAAATTTTTTTACATGTTAATAAACATAAAAACATATGCATATTTTCCTTTGCAGGATGATACAGATGATTAATGAATCAGTAAAAACCTTTATTAATCATTTGAGCGTCTAATTAGAGTGTATTTCGAAAATTTAGCGGATTTACATATTTTTAGAGATCATTGGAAATTTATAAATTATATTAATTTTTTACTCCATTAGAAGAAAAAGAGAAAATATTAAAATCTTATTTAGATAAAATCATGATTTTATGTTATAGTAAGTACAAAAATAATATACTGTATTCAGGATTGCAAGAATTGAACGTTTAAACCAAAGACTGAAAAGTCTGAAAATTAACAGAGAAATAATTAATGATTTGATAGGTAGATCCAACGATAAAGTTATATTAAAAAATTTGATAACCAGAGATTTAAGCGAGGCGTCTTGATCAACGTTTTGTTAGTCAAATAGCGAAAATCCTTTTTGATATATTAAATTCCGATGTTGATTATAATGAACAAATAGATCTTGTGTATAATTCGAAATAACAAATTTATATAAAAACAAATAAGTATTATTCAGGCAATAATAAATAATTTTTCGAATACCTTTGAAACAAATAATAAGTTTGAAACAAATAGGACAACTTCACAGCCTTAAAAGATAGACAAAAATTAACTGAAACTCAATTAAATAACTTAATCAATTCTTATCTAATATAATGCTCAGAAATGATACTTAAATATGGAATAGAATTAGAAACTTTGACGCAATTCTATAGGCACGCCGAGGATTAATTCCAAAACACTTAGAATTATTCAATAACTTAAAAGAAACTCGTTATGTTATAAATAACAAACAATTATCTATACCTTTGAAATCCGATCAATTTACTAATTTAATCGATATTAGCGATATAA